TATTTAAAAAATTTTAAATAAACTCTCCATTTTGTTCATAACATGTACCCTTTGAGGATAGAAAAAAATCTCCCATAGAATTGGAATGGAGTGAAGAGAATTCCACTCACTGCTCTGGCACATGGGGGCTGAGGAGGGTCCTGAAACTGAGCAGGACCCTGTGGGGCTCCTGGGCACAGAAACTTTTCTGTGTCCCCTGTGTCTTGTTTGTAGGGAATAGACTCCAGCCTCCATGACCTTCCCTGAGTTCCAAAGGGCAGATTCAAACAGTTTCTAATCAGGGAAAGGAGGGGATACAGAGACAAGGGAGGAGACCACCTGAGGCCAGATTAAAGGAGGCCCTGCACACACCCTGATCCTTATCAGCAAGCCCACCCTTGAACCACTGCTATAAAACCCCTCACCAAATCCCTCTGGGTGGGGACACACAGTTTTTTGAGGCACCAGCCCACTGTGTCCCCCTTTGCCTAGCCAAGCAATAAAGCTATTCTTTTCTACTTCACCCCAAACTCTTGTCTCCGAGATTCAATTCGGCACTGGTGCACAGAGGCCAAGTTTTCAGCATCAGGGCCAGGCTGATCCGGGCTGCCCCACGACCCGCCATCTGTCCACTGTGGCTTTGTCCCAAGTCTATCCCCACCGCAGCCAGAGGCGCTATTCAAAAATGTTACTCCTGCTTAATCCCACCAATGCTTTTCCATCACACTCAGGATAGACCCAAGCTCTGCACGGTGGCCCTGCCGCCCTCTCTGGCCCTCTGCTCTTCCTGCTTGCCCCCCGTTCCCCCCCCCCTACCCCCGCCATGGCCATCCAGCCTCTCTGGCCTCCGGTCTGTTCCTCAAGCCACGGAGGGCTCCCGCCCAGAGTCTGTGCCGCTGGAAGTCTCCCCGACCTTGGGCCCACCAGCTCCTTCTCATCTTTCCTCTCCTCCGCAGAGCCCCCTGACCCCCAAGCCTGAAGGACCCAGCATCCTCTTTTCCTTCTCTCCTCGCTGCCATTGCTTTTCTCTTTTTTTGTTTGATGTTCCTTGTCTCCTCCATAAGACTGTTGAGTGTCCAGGAGATGCCTCCTTGGTGCCTGGGACAGTGTCTGATACAAGAGTAAGTGAAGAATACATGTTCACTGAGTGCACGTATGAATAAGGAACGTGTTGGAAGCATCACTTGACGGATTGAGAAAACAGGCTTCTGGGCTCACTTGGCCAGTGTCACCCTTCCCCCTCCCCCTGCCCCCGCACCACCGGGTGGCGGGCGGTGGAGGGGGGGAGCTCACTGGGCCTCCTCCTTCCTCCAGTCCATGTTTTTCCTTTGACACTGCTGCAGGGACAGCCCTGGGTTCGTTTCCCACAGGGATTGAAATTGACAAATTGCCCAGGGTTGGGGAGGGTGTTGAGGGAAGCCAGAGCCATGAGGTCAGGTGGGGTAGAGGTGTGCTTAGTGGGCAGGTAGGTCACCCGGCACTGGGCCCAGGCCACGCCCAGTGTAATTACCAGACAGGAACCAAGCGAGCCGCGACCACGCCCATGGGCCTGCCCAGCTTAATGAGCAGGGCACAAGGCATGGCGCCTCCCCTTCTTTGGGGACGCCACGGTGGCTGCCGGCTGAGAGCCCGGCCCTCCAGGGAGGGGCGCTGGGGCCGCCCTGTGGGCCACATCCCACATCCCACACTCTTGTCTGTTCTGGAACATTCCTGGGCCTGGTTCCCCTTTAGGGCAGGGGCTACTTCTGGGTTCCTGGCTCTGACAGCTAGGCAGTCACTGACATCCTAGTGCCTCGGTTTCTCCATCTGTGAAAAAAGGATGGGTTTGTTGCCAGGATTAAATGAGCTGATCTGTGTACAGCTTGAAGCCAATTTGATTAGCAGCTTTATTATGGACCAAACCCAGTGGCCAGCAGTTCCTGGCACATCATACATGTAGAGGGATGAACTTTACAGATGAGGAAGTGGGGGGCAGAGTTTGGGGGCCAGTGTGGGGTCTGCAGACTCCTCGGCTCTTCCTGGGGTCCCCACCCCCTCTTCCGTCTGTCTCCCTCCTGCCTCAGCAGGAGGACTTTTGGCAAGACTCCTCCCAAGGAAAACACCACCTTGGATCTGCCGTCTCGGCTAGTGCCGAGGTTATCTTAGTTTTGTGCAGTATCGGGGCCGCGGGGTCCTAATTAACCTAATAAGGAGCCTGCCACACACACGTCTGCGCTTGGGCTCCGCTCCGATGGCTACCCGGTAATTTGCCAAAATAAGGCCTTTGCCTGGACAGGTCCCACCAAGAAGCACGCCGTGCTCTGGTGGGGTGGTAACGATGTTGTTTTCCATGCCTCCCGCCCCTACAAGTGTGGGAGCCCAATCCTAGAGGCACGGCCATCTCCCGGAGGGAACAAGCCTCAGGGCTGCATGGGCAAGAATGACCAAACATGGGCTCGTGGACATGTGACATGGGGAGGGGGAGAAACACCCAACACAAAGCCAGCCGCTGCCATTGGTGTGTGCGGCCGGGAGGTGGGATGGACAGCAGGGAGCTGCCCGGCTGCAGGGCCAGCCCGCACCCTGGCTCCCATCCAGCGCCTGTTCTGGGGATGTGCTGGGTGCTGCTTCCCTCGTTTCCACAAAGGTACCAGGAATACCCCTGGAGCAAGGTCATACCTGCTCCACATCCCCTGGGCCCAGCCCAAGCCCCTCCGAGCCACCTTTGCCCAGGGGCCGCAGCGCCAGGTCAGTAGCCCGAGGTCCCCAGTCCCTGGAGAGACCAGGCAGGAAGCCAAGGCTTAGGAAGCTGCGAAGCAGGAGGACGGGACCTCGCCACAGCGGCCATGTCCCCTCCTGCCCAGGGCAGCAACAGGCTCCCCGTGGGAGGAAGGGTGCTGAAGCCAGGTCCGGGAAGCGCAGGGCCAGCCCCGGTGCCTACAAGATGCTCGCTCACTTGGCCCTTTGATCCACCCGGCTGGGCAGGGCTGCATCTTCAGGGAGGTTTCCCCAGAGACACTGCTGGGGGAGGCTCAGCCCCACCCTGGCCCAAGCATCCTGTGTGTCCCTTCCTGTGTGCAGGCTGCCCTGGAGGAGGTGGCAGCAAGCCCCCTTCGGCCGCTGTGCTTACCCAATCCTCTGCGGGGGCAGGGCTCCCTCTGGAAATGGAAAGGGGTCCTCAGCCCAGCAGCTCCTGAGGAGCTGGGCCTGGGGAGGAAAACTCACCTGGCGGGGTACCTGCATCCCTGCATTTTCTGGAGTCCGCACTGTGCCAAACCACCAGAGAATTGGGCCCGCGCAGGTGCTGGGCTAGCCCCAGGGGATCCTGGACACCCACTGCTCTGGCTCCAGGCCCAGGCCTACTCCCTTTATTCCCAGACCGGGTCCAAGGTGCTGAAAACTGCGCTAACCGCCATGTGTGGACTGGATGCCTCACACTGGGTGGGCTCTGAGTCACAGCTGGCTGGCCTGGGTCGGGGGGCTGCGGTGGGCTTGCTGCACGGCCGAGAGGCACCGGCCACTGTGAGGCCGGGTCCTGCGGCCCAGGAGCTCTTCAGGCCTCAGGCCTGGCCTGGCCAGCCCGCCAGGCAGGGATGAGCTGAGAGCCTGGCTCTGGGCCTCACACCTCAGTGTCTCGTCCTCTCCAAGGCCCTTTTCCTGGATGACCTTCGCAGCTTTAGTGACCCCTTTCGTTCCACGGGAGGGTGACTCGGACCCCCAGGCTTGCATCAGTGTGGCCTGGACCCACAGAGGCCGCAGTGAGCGGTTCGCAGTAAGCTGCCAGGGCTGGTCCTACTCTCGCAGGCCGTCCTCACCCTCCCCTCCCTCTGCCTGGCGCTCCTGCATGGGAAAGGGGCGTCCTCACATACATTTTCTCCCAGGCATCGCTGGCGTAAGGGCCTCCTTCACTTTCATGCTGGTATTTTAATTGGGGGAGGGGCAGTAAACACCTAAGCACACGTGTCAGGTGGTGACCTGGATGAATAGAAAACAATGATGGAGGGAAGGGGTCCCCGAGTGGAGGGGCTCTGCAGCTGTCAAGGGGCTGATCAGGAAGCCCTCCTTCAACAGGTGACCTTTAAACAAGGACCTGAACAAGGTGAGCTAGGGAGCCTGGCAGATACCCGGGCAGAGGTTCCAGGCAGAGAAGGGCAAAGGCAAGCTCAGGAGGTGGAGGACCCTGGCGTGTGGGTGGGAGGAGGGCAGAGGGGGAGGGGCCCTGTGGGATAAGAAGTAATGTATCTGGTCCTGTCCCTGATTCCTAGAGCAGAGCTCCTAAACCCTTGGAATTTCCCAAGTGATAAGAGCGTCTTCTGTTCTTTCTAAGGATCCCTCCTGAGCAGGAGTTTATGCTAATGAGGTAACTTAGGGTGGGGCCCTAGATCCCCTCAGGGTGGGGCCGGTCACCAGCAGACCAAAGGATTAGAAGGTTGGAAGTTTCAGCCCCATCCGCTGACACCCTCCCCCGCCACCCCCCCCCCCCGCCAAGGGAGTTGGGGCTGCAGAATAAGTTCCATAAAAACTCCTGAACGAGCAGATGGGATGAGCTCAGGGGTTGGTGAGCATGTCCACAGACCAGGTTGTGATGCACCCCAGTTCCATGGGGACAGAAGCTTCTGCACTCAGACCCTTGCCCGATGTACCTCTTCATCTGTATCCTTTATACACCAGTTATATTAAACTGGTGCTTGTAGGTGAATGTTCCTCTGAGTTCCATGAGCTGCTCTAGCACATTAATTGAACCTGAAGAGTGGGTCTTGGGAACCTCCAATTTATAGCTAGGTGGTCAGAAGCACAGATGACAGCCTGGGCTTGGGACTGGAGTCTGCAGTGGGGGCTCTCCTGTGGGAGTGAGCCCCTAACCTGTGGGATCTTGTGCTTCTCCTGGTAGATGACGTCAGAATGGAAGTAAATTTGTTGCAGGAAGACCCCTTCCAGGGCCTGAGAGTGGACTCTTGTCGAACACTCGGAAATGAATTGTCCGAGGAGACACACGTGCTGACAAAGCAGGAGACTTTATTGGGAAGGGGCGCCCGGGCGGAGAGCAGAGGGTAAGGGAACCCAGGAGGACTGCTCTCCACGTGGCTCGCAGTCTCGGGTTTCATGGTGATAGGGTTAGTTTCCGGGTTGTCTCTGGCCAATAATCTTGCTTGGCCCATATTTGGTGATTCAGGGTCCTTCCTGGTGGTGCGCGCATCTCTCAGCCAAGATGGATTCCAGCACAAAGGACTCTGGGAGGTTGGTTGTCTCCTCCCTCTTTTGGCCCCTCCCAAATTCCTCCCGGTGGCAGCACCATGCTCATGACCTGTTGTGAGACAAGTCAGGCAAGCGGGCCTGGCCATGGCGGGTGGTTTCCGTCAACAGTTCCCTAACAAATTTGCAGGACAGTCAGTCATCCGCTGAGAACTGAAGAACGGCTTGATGTTGGGAAACATGCCAGGAGCCCCAATGTGGGTTTAAACTGGCTCACTCTGCTGTGTGCAGGGTGAAGGGGGGTGGGGTTAGTCAGGAAGACCAGGCAGGAGGCGGGTCCTGGAGCAGGGTAAGTGGGGTGTGTGTGTGTGTGTGTGTGTGTGTGTGTGTGTGTGTGTGACTGACAGTGGTTGGATGCCGGCCACACTGTGGAGGGACCAATGGCTGGGTTTGGTGGACGTGGCCTGTGAGAGAAAGAGGGAAGATGAGATTTGGGCCTGAGCACCTGACAGCGTGCAGCTGCCATCATCTTACTGACCTCCCCGTCACTGCAGGGAAGAAGAGCTATTTGAGAGCTCTGCTCACCCGCACCAGGTGGCCCATCCAGGCTGCCTGAGTGAAGCAGGGCATGGGTTCCAGGAGGTAAGGACTGATGGGCCGCCTGCTCTGAGGGCAGCTGGCTGGGGCCCACACCTCTCCCTCGGGAGCGGGGACCAGGACTGGCTGGGTGCCGCCCAGTGCAGCCGGCCTGGGCGAGGCCTTCCCAGGGGAATTTAATCCTCCTAATACCCTGGGAGGGAAAGGCTATGTACTCTGGACTGAGTGTTTGTGTCCTCTCTAAATTCATATGTTGAAATTCTAACCCTCAATATGAAGGTATGAGGAGGTGGGGCCCCTGGGAGGTGATAAGGTCATGAAGGTGGAGCCCTCGCCCCTTTCACCAGTGAAGACACCCGTCTGTGAACCAAAAAGGGGGCTTTCATCACACACTGAATCTGCCAGGATCTCGATCTTAGACTTTCAGTCTCCAGAGCTGTGAGAAATAAATGTTTATAAGTCACTCTATGCATAACATGGTATCGTATAACACCCTGTGTACACTGGGGTGTTCTGTTATAGACTGACACACTGACATTATCGTGCCCATTTTACAAATGAGAAAACTGAGGCTTGGAGGTGGAGGACTTGCCCTTGGCCACACCGCTGGAGGGCACTGCAGGAACCTGACCTCAGTTGTCAGGCTCCCAGGTCCCCATCCTTCCTCTGGTTTCTTAGGCCACTCTGCTCCCTGAATCCAGAGGGCCCTGTGCCTCAGGCCGCTGCCTCTGGGGGCCGGACTGGAGCTGGGGTGAGCCCAGCTTTCCCTGGGGTCTGGCCAGCAGCATGTTCTGCTGGCGGTGGAAGAGTGGAAATAGGCGAGCTCCGAGTTGAGAGTGGCTTCCCTGAGTCTGATGTGAGAGCTGTGAGATGGGACAGGTAGGGGACAGGACACTGGACACTGCTGTCCTCATGCAGGTGTTCAGTTCCGTAAGCAACGAGCTCCTCTGAGCCAGGCACAGTGTTCAGAACACAGTGTGTATCAGTCAGGACATGATATGGCATAGTAACAAATGACCCCCAAATCTCAGCAGTTGAAAATAAAAGGCTTGGGTTTTGTTCCTGTTGTATGTTCAATGTGACCCACAGAGATGGCACTGTCACTCGTGCCTTCAGAAGAGGGACAGAGTCAAGGCCAGCAGTTAAATGTGGTCACACATTATTTCCACTCAGGCTGATTGTCCAAAGCTAGTCACATGGCCACATGTGATTCTGGGGTGGGGGGCATGGTGGGTGGGCAGGAAGATGTAACCAGAGAGCAAGAGACATTACGTTTCTGTAAGAGAAAGATGCCATTTCTGTTACTGCTGCTGGTGATGACGAGTTACCCCCAAACACAGCAGCTTAGATCATTTTATTGTGCTCCTGGATGTTGAAGGTCAGGATTTGGAAAAGAACATTTAACATAGCAGGACCCTGTGGGGTTCCTGGGCATGGAAGCCTTTCTGTGTCCCCTGTTTCTTGTTTGTAGGGAATAGGCTCCAGCCTCCATGACCTTCCCTGAGTTCCAAAGGGCAGACTCAAACAGTTGCTAATCAGGGAAGGGAGGAGATGAAGAGACAAGAGAGGAATAGCCAAGAAACAATAGCGTAGCCTTGGGAAAGGGTCCTGGTTCCCCCTCAAGGGATACACATAACAATATCTTTGAGCTCTTCTGCAGACTTAAACCCCAACAAAGGGAAGATGTCAACTACCTGATAAAGCATTCTTCATTCCAGAGAGAAGGTCACAGTTTGATAAACTCGAGAACCACAGAAACACATCGGGAGACCACCTGAGGCCAGGTTAAAGGGGTGCAGGCCCTGCACACACCCTGTTCCTTACCAGCAAGCCCTCCCTTGAACCATTGCTATAAAACTCATCAAATCCCCTGGGCTTGGGACACACAGTTTTGAAGGCATGAGCCCGCCGTGTCCCCCTTTGCCTGGCAAAGCAGTAAAGCTATTCTTTTCTACTTCACCTGAACTCTGTCTCCGAGATTTGACTTGGCACTGGCGCGTAGAAGCCGAGTTTCCACATCAAACCCAGCAAGGAGGGTGACGTCAGCGGCCGCGGTGGGAGGGGACACCAGGCTCGGGGCTGGAGTCATCTGAAGAGTCACCACCTCACGTGCCTCTGGGACGGTCACGAGGAGGCTCCAGATGGCCTCGGTGCAGCTTTGGTTTCCTCACAGCAGGGAGGCTGCCTTTCAAAGGGGACGGTCCCAAGAGAGACAGGTAGAGACCATCTCATCCTTTGTGACCTGGCCTCACTTACCCCGGGGTGGCACCCTGCCCGGATCAGGAGCAGGGAACACAGCCCCACCTCTGTGCAGGAGGAGGGCCAAGCCTGGGCGCAAGAAGAGCCTGCTCTGTAGGAGGTCTGCTGATTGGAAAATGCAATTTGCCCCAGAGGAGGGGTGGGAGACGGGAGAGCGGCACTGGTGTCCGCTATAGCGGGGAGGATGCCGTACATCCAGGATGCAACCTGGAGCTCTCTACGTGGGCAGTTTCCTGGAGGCACCCTCAGGACCGTCTTGCTTGAAGCCGGCAGGCAGGGCAGAGAAGGACCAAGATGCGGGTTCCCCTCCTGGCTCTGCCTGTCCCCAAACTCTGGACCCTGGGCAGGCCCTTGGCCTCTCCACGGAAGAGACCCCAGAGCAGGGAGGCGGGCCTCTGCCATCCTCTGAGAGGAAGAGGTTGAGGTGAGACAGGAAGCCAGGCCAGGACCTGCCCCACAGAGGTGCTGCTTAAAGGTGTGCAGGGGGCGGGGATCACTGGCCATGGAGGTGATGCTGGGCCGAGACTTTGGGCCCAGGTCCCCCAGGTGGCCCCAGAGGACAAAGGCCCTGGAAAGGCAGCACCAGTCAGGGGAGGTGTGAAGGCTCAATGCAGGAGGAGAGGGGGCTGAATCCAGCCCCCACCCCCCGACCAGGCAGGACCCAGCGCTCCCCTCCTCCCACCAGCGAGCACAAGTTCCCGACTGCCACCGTGGATGGGGAGCTGTTCCCCGACGGCAGGAAGCTCAGGGTAGAGCTGGGGAGTCAGGCACCAGACAGCTTGTTGTCTGGAATTCTCTATGGGGCAGGTCTTCCCGGGAGGAGGAAGCTGCTCTGGCCCAGCCCACGCCGGTGTCTGAGGCCTCATCCAAACATGGGACACGAAATGTGGGGAAGCTACTTTGGGAAAAGTTTGCACTGGGGGTTCGGGCCGGGGGGTTGGGCCAGGATCCCCGTGAACTGTCCCTTCTTTCTCAGGGCCCTGGAAGCCCAGCTGCTTCCAGCAGAACCGAGGCGCAGCGCAAAGGACCCAAGGACGGGAGGAAGGGCGGCTGCAGGCTGTTTTCCGTTTGCTTTCTCTACACAGCGCTGTTGCCAACTCCAACAGTCATGTCCCCCATGACGTCTGGGGACACAGAAGTCCCTGCTTCTTTCAGTGCTTCTTCTGCCAGTAACCACCCTGGGGAAGATCCTTCACTCCGGACTTGGTAAGGCTGGGTGACGAATTCAAAGCCAAGGCTACAATGAAACTGGGTGCCCGGCAAGTAATGGAATGAAAACTCTGGGCCCAGAATTCTTGTCTCTAGACAGAGAATGGGAGGCCCAAAAAAGGGTGTCATCATGCATTCTGGCTGCTGTAACAAAGTACCACAGACTGGGTGGTTTATGAACAACAGAAATGTATTTCTCATATGTATAGCTGATTCACTTTGTTATAAAGCAGAAACTAACATTGTAAAGCAATTATACCCCAATAAAGATGTTAAAAAAAAAAAAAAAAAGAAAGAAATGTATTTCTCACTGTCTGATAGCTGGAAGTCTCAGATCAGGGTATCTGTAGGTTTGGGTGAGGGCCCTCTTCTGGGTGGCAGACTTCTCACTGTGTCCTCACGAGGCGGAATGGAGAGGCTAAGGAGCTCTGGGTCTCTTATAATCTCGAATGAATAATCTCTAAGGAAGGCTCCACCTTCATGACCTAAGCACCCACCAACACACCATTGCACTGGGTGTACAGATCCCAACCCTGGGGGGACACAATGCTCAGACCATAGCAAAGGAGGCGAGGAGTGATCAGACCATCTGAGCCATGGACAGTGGCTATTCCCGAGTACCCAGGACACGCAGACCCCTGGGGAGGTGCGTGGTGCCTGCCTGGGCTCCCTCAGTGGGCCCCACCATATCTTCTCCTCCCTTAATAGTGGTGCCCTTGGTTTTGAGCGTGGCACACTGCTGGCTGGACCAGTTCTGGCCAATGGAGTGTAAGTGGCAGCACCATGAGGAACTTCTATTCCAGGAAGTAGTTTTTAAATAAGAGTGGGCAAGCCCTTCATCCCTCTTTCTCCTTCTGCTGGCAGGAATGTACACATGATGGCTGGAGCTGGAGCAGTCACCATGGACCATGAGGTAATCTTGGGAATGGAAGCCGCACACAGCCGAGCCTGGGAGTGGTGGAGCCTGAGCCTCAACACGCTGCACCCTCCCTAGCAGACCTTCCTCCTCCCACGTGGAGTAACTTCTGTCTTGTTTAAGTCACTGTTGTTTTAGGGTATCTTTCACCCACAGCTAAAGACAGTCCTAACCGCTACACCCCTCTCAGGGCATTTGGAGTCAATTGCAGTTCTCGCACAACACGTCAGCCAATGGTTATACGTGATCTCACTGCACTGGAGCACCGTAGCTAAGCTCAGGCTGTTTATTGTGGGATGACTCTGGTCTTGTCAGGGATGAGGCCTCCTACACACAGCCCTGTTATCATGACTATGGTGACAATGGCATGTGTCTGGGACTTGCAGACACATGAGAGAATTGAGCCAGCTCAGGTGTCCAGGGGCAGACTGAGCACCCTTTTACTTCCCTCCCCTCTCCAACCCCCCCTGGAAATGGCAACTTAGCACAATGCCAAGCAGACACGAGAAGAGGGTGGGAGGACTCCTGACAGATATACTTCCAGAAAATAAAAAACAGGCATGATTATATTGATGTATAAACCAAGGAGGAGGAGACTGCAGCTCAGTACATGGGCAAGAGGCAGTTTGGGTAGAGGTGCTACCCTCCCCAGCACCTGGAGAGGCTGTGAGCTCAGAGTCTGCAGTTTGTGAACAGGATGGGCCAGGGGCTTTGCTGGGGTGGGGGTGGGGGCGGGGAGCGTTGGTGGAGGGAATTGTCCACAGAACAGTGGGGTGAGCACTCTGCTTGCCTTGAACCCAGGCTCCACCACGTGGCTAGCAGTGCTGGGTTTGCCTTTGGAAGTGACCTTGGAAGCAGGCTTAGTACCACCCTCATTCACCAGGTCTCTGTGGGGTGAGGAGGTCCAGCACCCTCCACTGAAGGCTGCCGGCTATGAGTCACTCTGTGGACAGAACTGGAGCCAGCCTTCTCAGGAAGGGGCGAGGCCGGCTGAGGAAACAGACCCAGACAGCAGAGGAGAGCTTTGCCCGCTGTCCGCACGCCTCAGTCTGTCTTTCCTCTGTACATGCAAACCGGCAACCAAGGAAAACAGTCGCCGCGAGAGAAGGACCTGGATGAACCAAGTAACAGCTGTCCTGGGAAGATAGAGATAATAAAGGCAATGAGCAGAACTTAAAAATCATAATTAACATCTCAGAGATATTTGAGGAGGTATTGCATTCACAAAACAAGAACAGGAAGCTAGAGAAAGGAAAAATCAGGGAACAAGAGAAAGTTCAGAGAGATTAAAAATATGATTGTCAAAACAAAACAAATATCAGCAAAAGGGCTGGAAAATAGAGTCAAAGGAACTTCCCAGACTAGGGCAAAAAGACAAAAAGATGAAAAACATGAGAGAAAGTTAAGAGTTGTGTGGCATCATCCAGGATGTCCAAAATGTGTCTAAGAGGAGTTGAGAAACTATGAGGATTCAGCTTAAGCAGTGCTTAGAGGAAAATTGATAGCTTTAAATGCCTATATTAAGAAGAAAGACCTCCAAATCAGTAATCTAACCTTCCTTCTAAAAACACTGAAAAAAGAAGAGCGAAATAAACCTAGAGTGGGCAGAAGGAAGAAAATAAATAAAGACCAGAACAGAAATTAATGAAACAGAGAATATAAAAACAATAGACAAATTCAGTGAAACCAAAGGCTGGTTCTTTGAAAAGATCAACAAAATTGACAAACCTTTAGCTAGATTGACTAAGAACAAAAAGGAGAGAAGATTCAAATTACTACAATCAGAAATGAAAGAGGGGACAGTACTACCAACTTTATGGAAATAAAAAGGATTATAAAGGAATACTATGAACACCTGTATGTCAACAAATTAGGTAAATCAGATGAAATCGACAAATTCCTAGAAAGACACCAATTACCAAAACTGACTCAAGAAGAAATAGATCATCTGAATATAACTATAAGAAAGAGATTAAATTAATAATAACGATAATAATACTATAAACTACCCATGAAGAAAATCCCACGCCCAGATTGCTTCAGTGCTGAATTCTACAGTCCTAGACTGTTCAGGCTACCATAGCAAAATACCACAGACTGGGTGGTTTATAAACAACAGGAATTTATTTATCATAGTTGAAGGCTGGAAGTCTGAGACTGAGGTGCCAGCATGGTTGGGTGAGGGCCCTCTTCCAGGTTGCAGACTTCTCATTGTATCTTCACATGGTGGAAGGGGCGAGGATTCTTTGTGGGTCCTCTTGTATAAGCTTTCCCACTGATGCGGGCCCCACCCTCATGACCTACGCACCCCTCAAAGTCCCCACCTTCTAACATCATTACATGGGGAGTAAGGATTCCAACATGTGAACGGCGGGGGGGGGGGCACACAAACATTCAGACCCTAGCACCTTCCAAACATTTAAAGGAGAATTAATACCAATTCTTCACACACTTTAAAAAATAGAAGAGGAGGGAACACTTTCCAATTTATTATGAGTTCAGTATTATCCTTGTACCAAAATCAGAAAGGACATCACAAGAAAAGAAACTGATAGACTAATATCTTTTATGAATATGGATGCAAAAATCCTCCAGAAAATAAGAGCAAACCAAATCCAGCCACAAATAAAAAGAACTACATATCATGACCAAGAAACTATCCAGAGATGCAAGGCTGATTTAACATCTGAAAATTTATATAATACAATAGGTCAGTTGAATAAAAAACAAAAATCACATGAACATCTCAAAAATCATTTGCCAAAATCCAACACCCCTTCATGATAAAAATACTCATAAACTAAGAGCAGAAGGGAACTTCCTCCACCCAATAAAGGCATATATGAAACTGCCACAGCTAGCATCATACTTAGTGAAAGACTGGATGCTTCCCCCTCAGATGAGGAACAAGACTACTTCTGTCACATTTATTCAACCTTGTACTGGAGGTTCTAGCTAGGGAAACTGGGCAAGAAAAAGAAATAAAAGGCATCCAAGTTGGAAAGGAAGAAGTAAAATTATCTTTATTTGCAGATGACATGATCTTATATGTAGAAAACGCTAAAGATACTACACACACACACACACACACACACACACCCCCAACCCTGTTAGACCTAATAAAATAAATGAATACAGCAAAGTGGCAGGATACAAAACCAACACACACAGATCAGTTGCATTTCTATACACTAACAGTGAGCAACCTTGAAAGGAAATTAAGAAAACAATGCTATTTACAATGCATCAAAAAGAATAAAATACTTAGGAATAAACCTAACCAAGAAGATGAAAGACTACACTGAAAACTACAAAACACTGCTGAAAGAAATTAAAGGCATAAATAAATGGAAAGACATCCTGTGTTCACGAATTAGAGGACTTAATATTGCTAATATGTCCATATTACTCAAAGCAATCTACAGATCAACGCGTTCACTATCAAAATGTTAATGGCATTTTTTTCAGAAATAGAAACAAAAACATACTAAGATTCCTTTGGAATCTCTAAGGGCCCTGAATAGCCAAAACACTATTGAGAAAGAAAAACAAAGTTGGAGACCTCACGCTTCCTGGTTTCAAAACATATTATAGGGGGCTTCCCCGGTGGCGCAGTGGTTGGAGAGTCCGCCTGCCGATGCAGGGGACACGGGTTCGTGCCCCGGTCCGGGAGGATCCCACATGCCACAGAGCAACTAAGCCCGTGCACCACAACTACTGAGCCTGCGCTCTAGAGCCCACAAGCCTCAACTACTGAATCCCGAGCACCGCAACAAAGAGTAGCCCCCGCCCGCCGCAACTAGAGAAAGCCCGCATGCAGCAACAAAGACCCAACGCAGCCTAAATAAATAAATATTTTTTTTAATTAAAAAAAAAAAAAGAATTCCAAGACAGCAGAAGGAGAATGTTAAATCATGTGTAGGGCTCTTCTGAGCATGGGGCCCTGAGCAGCTGCAATGGTGGCAAGCCCATGAATTCGGCCTGATTATTGGCTCCAAAATATAAAATAAACCAATGGCTCAAAATAGAGAGCCCAGAAGCAGGCACAGGCACATAAGCTCATTTGATTTATGACAAAGGTAGCCCTGCAGGAACAGTGGGGAAAGGACAGCCTTTTCAGTACATGCTAAGGGGAGAAAAATCCAAGTGCAAAAAAAGTATAGACTTGAAAAAAAAAAAAGTATAGACTTGAAAAGATGAAAAAGTCCTTAAAAAAGGAAGGAAATTCCAACACGTGCTATAACCTGGATGAACCTTGAGGCCATGATGCTACATGAAATAAGTCAGACACAAAAGGACAAATACAGTATGATTGCACTTACATGAGGTACTTAGAGGAGTCAGATGCATAGAGACAGGAAGGAGAATGGCTTCTACCAGGGGCTGGGAGAAGGGGGGGTGGGGTGGGGTATTATTATGTTATGGGTACAAAGTTTCAGTGTGGGAATATGAAAAATTCTGGAAATGAAGGGTGCTGATGGTTGCAGAATAATGTGGATGAACTTAATGCCACTGAGCTGCATGCTTAAAATGATGAATATGGTAAATACTATGTTATCTATATTTTAACAGTGAAAAAGAAAGAGGAAAGGCAAACAACATAGCCGTAGAAGAATATATAGAAGAATAACTTCATGATCTTGGCCTAGAGAAAGGTCTCTTAAGCAAGATTGAAAAAGCCCTAATGATAAAAAAAAATGTCTGATCACTTTGATTCATTTGAATTAAGAAACTTTTCTTTATCAATGATACTATTAAAAGAAACATTAAGTCACAGAGTGGAAGAAGATATTTGCAATACATGTAACTGTCAAGGGGCTTATATCCAGAATATATAAAGTACATCTAAAAATCAATAAGAAAAATACAGAATGGGGAGTAAAATGGAAAAATGGGCAAAATGTTTGAACAGACATTTCCAAAGAGAGGATATTCAAATGGACAATAAACATATACATGTGTTTTAACCATGCAAATTAAAATCACAGTGAACTAGCTCTCCACAACAAGGGGTTGGTAAGTGTGTGAACTTACCAGGAAATCTTAACACTGCCGGTGCTGTAATCACTTTGGAGAATGGTGTGGCAGTGTCTTCTAAAGCTGAAGATTTGAACACCCATGAGCCTGCAATCCCTCTAGAAGCTACTTACCTACTAGCATGTGTGTGTGTGTTGCAGCCAAATACATATGCAAGTATGTTCTTAGCAATATCTTGATCATAGCCTCTGCTCTGGACTGAATGCTTGTGTCCCCCAAATCCATTCGTTGAAACTTAATCCCCAATGTGACGGTATTTGGAAGTGGGGCCTTTGGGAGGTCATTAGGTCATGAGGGTGGGGCCCTCATGTGGGATTAGTGACCTTATACAAGAGACAAGACAGAGTTTCTCTCTCTGTCTCTTTCTCTGCCATGTGAGGACACAGGGGAAGACAGCCATCTATAAATCAGGAAGATTTCCAGATGGCCTTCACCAGAACCTGACCCCTGACCATGCGGTCACACTCATCTTGGACTTCCCACCTTCAGAACTGTGCGAAATAAATGTTACTTGTTTTAGCCACCCAGTCTATGGTATTTTTGTTACAGCAGCCTGAACTGAGATAGCCCCCAAATGGAAACAATGGAAATACCCATCCATAGTGTAATGGACTAAAAAAAAAGCATATTCATATAGTGAATTCTATACAGCAGGAATAGAATGAACTACAGATCCAGTAAAAGGGTTAAATCTTAAAATGATATTGAGAGAAAGAAGGTAGATATAAGCTGTGCATACACTGTTTGATTCCACTGATAGACATTACACAGACATGCAGCTCTCACCATCATCCTTGGACGCAAGGACGCCTGGTCAACTATAAAACCATTTCAGGAAGAGCTTCTTGGGTATGCCAGGGGGCATAAATCCAGGCAGGGGCCAGGGAGGGAGGAGGTACCACTGGGATGCATCTGACTGGTGGCGACACTGGGGTTTTCTTGACCATAATTTGCTAAGTTAAGGGACATTCCTGGCGGTCCAGTGGTTAAGACTCCGTGCTTCCATTTCAGGGGGCGTGGGTTCGATCCCTGGTCGGGGAACTAAGATCCCACATGCCGTGAGGTGTGGACAAAAAAAAAAAAAATTTGCTAAGTTGAACACTTATATTTAAAATTTTTTTCTGGATGTATATTGTATTCACAACAAAGAGGAAAAACAGAGAGAAAGGAGGAGAGAAATAGAGCAAGTATGAAAATCCTTTCACGTAGTATTACTGGAGGGGGATGTGGAGTTGAGACTTATTCCAGGTTCTTTTGTGTATTTGATGACCTCTTCCCCACGCCGCCCCCTCATCATCCTCCAGCATTTAGAGGAGCTCCTGTGCTAGGAGAGGGTACCTGCCTGATCGCTGCCCCCTCACTGCTGCCGCCCAGGCAGACGTGGACTCTGACCCACACAAGCCGCTCTGGCCAGCCGATCAGGCCCAGCTCTCCTCCTTAGGAACGTGTTTTCCTGCTTCTTTGTAAGCAAGGTCATTCTATTTTTTTGTTTGTTTGTTTTTACATTTTTTCCCTTGGTTTATCTATTTATTTTTTTAATTTTTAATTGTTTTTTGGCAAGTCCATTTTTTAAAAAATTTTATTTATTTTTTGGCTGTGTTGAGTCTTCATTGCTGCACTTTCTCTAGTTGTGGCAAGCAGGGGCTTCTCTTGTTGCAGAGCACGGGCTCTAGGCACGCGGGCTCAGTAGTTGTGGTGCACGGGCTTAGTTGCTCTGTGGCATGTGGGATCTTCCTGGACTAGGGATCAAACCCGTGTCCCCTGCATTGGCAGGCAGTTTCTTAACCACTGCGCCACCAGGGAAGTCCCTGGCAAGTCCATTTTAATTGGATGCCAGGTGTTGTGGATTTTACCAGGTTGGAGGCTTGATATTTTTGTATTCTGAGAAATATTCTTGAGTTTTTTTCTGAGATACAAGTAAGTTACTTAGAAATTGTTTGATTGTTTCTGGTCTTGCTTTTGTGATTTGTTGGGTGAGTTTGGAGCTATGCTCAGTCCAGACTGAAGAGTCTGGGTTAACCCCTGAGCCCTCTCCCGATACTCAGTGAATCTGAGGTTTCGGTCTGGCTGGTGGAGCCCCATGTGGGCACCGGGCACTAGTCTCTCCCCACTTACGGCGCTCTTCACAGACGCATGTGAGTGCCCCAGGGAACCCTCAGCAGATCACCAGGGCTCTCTCCTGGCAGCAGTCTCCTTAGGGGTCCTCTGTCCTGAAGACCCTAATTGCCTTTATCTCCCTGGATGTCCAGCTCCATCTCTTGAACTTGGGGAGCCTTCTCTGTTTGTCCAGGAACCCCCCTGTCTGCTCTGTAGCCCATAAACCTCTCAGGAAGGGAGCAGGCCATCACAGGATTCACCCATCTGTTTCCCACCTCCCAGGGACCGCCATCCTTCCTCACCTGATGTCCTGTTGTTCACAAGTTTGTCTGGTTGTGTTGGTAGTTTCGGGAGGGAAGGTAAACCTGGTAAATCTGCGACTCCATCCCAGGTGTACCCATGGAGGGTGCGTTGTACCCCAGATGGGCCAGAAGAGAAGGTTCTGAGCACAGGGCAGGCAGGCAGAGGTCTCAGAATTTCTCTCTGCTGCCTCTTTTCTCAGGCAGGAGCTGGGGAGGGAGGAGGCCAGAGGAGAGAGGAGATTACAGGGGAGAGAGGAGAGCTAGTGGATCAGGGGACCCTGCGTGACGTCCAGAAGAACCGGGGCCGAGAAGCCACTCGATGGGAGGGCCGGGCGAGCCCCAGCACGACTCTAGATTTCAGGCCCTGGGCTGTGGCTCGTGCCCAGTGGGGTGACTAGGTCCTCACCTTTGATCACCAGGGAAACATGATCCCCTGGGTCCACCCCACTGAGATTCCCCTCCAAAACCCTTCTTTCAAAGGCACCCCTCTTCTCGGGCCCTGGTGCTGGGCCAAAAGGTCCAAGGCCAGCCTTGCTGGTCTGCTCAGGTCCTGGCACCCTCTCGGCCTTGGTCCTTCGGGCCTCTCTATTTCACAGGCCTGAGAACAGCCCATTTATTTGGGAAAAGCCAGAAACCCTCAACAATTCTCTGTCCTGAAATTCTCAAGAACAAAGTGTTTGTTTTAACTTGAGGAACAGAGCCTCCACCTGGAAAATCTAAGTGACCTCAGCAACCGTGCCCTCAACACCATCACCCTTGCCTGAGCCCACTGCAGGGCCCTGGAATGCCAGCCTTTCATATTCCTTCCTTCGCTGGCCTCTGGAGGAGGAAAAGGAGAATCCAGCCTCTGACCCTGCAGGCACCTGGTCAGCTCTGGCCTCTGTGGGCGAGTGTGCTTGGTTTCTTCCTGCTGAAGGTCAGGGGTGGGGATGCCCATCCAGCCTGGGGGCTTGGATTCTAGAAACTTCAAGGGGCCCAGGGAACGTCAACTCAGAGGCACACCCACACTGGGTGCTCAACCTGCGAGGTCTTCCCGAGCCCTGGGTATGGACGCAGCGTGGCCCCTGCCTGGTTGGAGGAGGGCCGGTGCTGACCAATGTCTCGGGTGCCAGGCAGTGGACGCTGGCCCCCAGCAGCCGAGGTGTGGCCACCCCAGCTGCTCCCGCCCCTCCCACAATGGGTGCTGTTTGCCACCCTCCGGCTCTTGGCTGCCTCCCGCCCTGCAGGGTCTCCAGGACCCAGACAGCTAGGAGACACTGCCCCTCACCTTTCTTTTTTGAGCACCTGCTGTATGCAGGGACGATTCTATAGGCACTAAGGAAAAATGGAGGGAGGGCCAATGAGTCCTACTGCAGAGAGATTACGCCTGTCGGAGGATGGAAGGCCAGTTATCCTCATGACTGCTGGTACTGACATTGACGGAGCCCTGGGGCACCACTCACAGGCTCAGTGCCTTGCTGCCATGATCTCGCCCCAGCTGGCAACTTGATTATCCCCGTCCTACAGACGGGGAAGGAGGCTCAGGGAGTTAGTTCATCAACCTGCTCAGGCTCACACAGCTGGACGTACGGCTGCCGAGACGGTAAAACACCAGATTGGTCCAAGCAAGGGAGAGTCGGGGAGGGTGCACAGAGGAAGTGGCCTTGAGCTAGGCTCTGGGGATGGGAATGGGCTCTCGGATGGAAGGCAGAGAGGAAGGGCAGAGAACAAAGAGAATAGACAAATAGGGTGCTGGTCACCCACTGAGCCCGGACCTGGGTGGGCGGTGGCAGAGGCAGGACAGGCTCAGAGCCGGGTCCTGCAGGGGTGCCCTCCCGGGTCGCAGGGGTGTCGAAGGGATTCTGCTAGGGAGTGACACCCTCCAGGGGGCTGGACCTGTCGGGGCCTGAAGCTGGTTTTGATGAGAAGTCAAAAACAGGTTTGTGGGTGAGTCAGTCGCAGGGAGCACACAGAGAAACCAGCTCCTTGGAGGTCTTCCCTCAGCCCTTCAGACTGCGCAGCCGCCCACGCCTGCCTGCCCGAGGACCAGTGGGAACAGGTTTGCTGGGCCCGCTGGGTGCCTTCCTGTGTGGATCTGGCCTCACTGTTGTGTCTAGACTGCCAGTGGGGGGTCCAGGAGGCGGCACTGGACAAGGCTACGTCTGAAACCTTGTTCCCAACCACAGATGGGGCAGGCTGGTTGGAAAATATTCCTTTCCTGAGACATCGCAGCTCGGCCTCTTTGAATCCCCCAGCCACTTCCTTCCTGTGTGTATCTTACACTGGCTGAGGGACTGGGCGGGTTCCCTGTGTGTTGTTGTTGCTTATTTTAAGTTTCTGTCTTGTTCCTTTGTGAGTTGCATGCAAGGGGGGGTGGGGTTGGTTCTAAGAGGCCTTTGTCACTGTAATGCATGTCGGGGATGACTTGGGTTTTCTCTACAAGTTAAAAACCTCTGCTTGTGAGAATGAGAAGGAAGGAGGGTCTCCTTAGGGCCACAGGTAAGGACCTTCACATGTGATATCATGCTTAGGCTCAAATCGGCGTCAAGACACAGGCAGGTAAGAAACATGGAGGATCCAGGAAGCTGGAGTATCGGCCGCGGTCTTGGAGCCAAGGTTTCCTGCCTCCTAGGTCCAAGTGCTTTCCTGGATGTCCACGGGCGATGCCAACACGCCTTCCAGTGCCTGTGGCGGCTGGGGACACAGTCTTCCCCCCTTAACCTTCAGAGCCTGCACTAAGAGTATGTGCTGCCTGTTTCCTGAGAAGTCAAGGGAACTTTGACTTGTTTTCCTTTCTCTTTAAGTAAACAGAATACAAGAGAGTTTCTCCAACTTCCTTGGCTGTGGCTCACGGGAGACGATGCAATTCACATGGCAACCCCATACACACACAAGGGTACACGTGTATATACGCATGGGTGTATAATGTGTGTACATGTGTATACAAAATACAAACATTTGTCTCTAATGGAGACAATTTTCAGAAAAAAACACTCACCCCACATTCACCCCACCTGCGATACACACGCATTTTCTGTACACAAACATATATGTGTATCTGTAACTGACGCGCATTTTAGGAAACAACGTCCACTCACCCTAAGCGTGACGTACTCAGTGTGCGATCTGCTCCGTCTTCTGCTGGCTGCCTTGCACCGAGCTGTGTCCAACACATCGGTGGGTCACAGTTGATGCTTGGCAGGCACTGAAAAGGAAGGAGTTGTGTTTGTGGGGCCCCAGAGCCCCGCACCCAGTCCCCGGGCACCTGCACTCCACACAGTCAGGTGCGCACACGCTTTGGGCCTGAAGGCAGGAAGGTTTGACCCTGCCCACGTGGCAGGCCTGGGAGCGCTACGCCGGACTCGGGGTTTCCTAGGGGGCCAAGTGTTTGAGGAGGGGCGTCCAGGCAGGAGGAACTCGAGGCCATGTCCCCAAAGACAGGTGTCCACGTGGCAACATACAGCACTTGCCACCCCTCCGAGCGAGCCCCCTTTTCCTCTAAATATGGGTGATGGTGATAATGATCGAAGCACAGCCAGCTCCGTTCACAGCTCGGAGGAGCGCGTTTATCACACCTCGCAGGGCAGGAGGTGCTCAGGGCAGAGGTGCTTCTTGCTAATTCCCACGAATTCCCACGAGGACCAGAGGCCCGGTGGCCCCACCCACCGCAGAGGGCGGGAGGAGTTAAAGGTGGGCGAGGTGTCAGTTCACCCAGGTGCGGCCCCGTGTGTGCGCGGGCGCAGGGGTAGGGACCCAAGAGGCTGGTTCAGAGAAGCGTGGCCCAGGGTTGCTGCGCCCTCCTCGTGGCTGAGACGCCCCTTTATTCCACACCAGGTGACAGTGATGCCCGTCTGGGAGAGTGCTCGCGGAGACCTTTCTGATGGACACATTCCTACAGGGCTCTGCAGGTAGTGATGGAGCTAGATATCCAGCCACCACCCTCCCAGAGCTCAGGCCCCGTCGCAGGGACCACTGACTCAAGCCTGCTGCGGTGGGTTCAGCAACCATGAAGAGGCGCAGTATGGGGGCCGCAGAGTGCAGGCTGCCCTGCCCAGCTCAGCCAGACGTGTGGCTACCAGCCCCGGTTCCCAGCCATCCGTGAGGTGCTGGTTCCCCCCTGGGTCCTGACATGGACCGTGGACAAGGGCAAGATTCCAGGAGTCAGGACCTGATGGAAGTGGGGTGCCCCCAGGACTGCTAGAGAGCCCCAGCTCCACGGAAACACAGTCACTGGGCCAGGTTAGAGATACACTCAGCCGTTTAATACCCCTAGGGCTGCTGTGAGGTTTCACACGGTCATGACCCAGGGCTGTCGCCTGCATGGAAGAGGATCTGCCGGTCAGAGGGGCCCGGCAGGTGACCGGGGCGGGGGATGTCGGTGGGGCAGCTGTCTTCCTTCATGCTGGGGTTTGCTCTGGGTGCCCCTGCAGCTATCTCCAGCTCCCCATGTAAGGGAGGGTGATGCTGGCCTAAGGGCTGCTTCAGAGCCCGAGTATCTGTGAGGTGGGGGCAGGCCGGGGTGCAGCCTGGGGAAACAGAGCTGGCAGGAGGCAAGCCTGGGATCCTTTTCTACCTCAGCCCCGCTCCCTGCCGGGGCTTCCTCCCACGACTGTTGCCACGCTTAGCAAATAAAAATATAGGCCGTCCAGTTATGCTTGAATTTCAAATAAACAACGAATACATTTTTAGTATCAGCATGGCCCTAGTGTTGCAAAAGTGTCCTGTATCTGGCCACTGTACCTCCTAGACCTTGGGCTCCATGGTTAGGTCTTGGAACCTGGTCTCCTGCAGGGGCTGGGGGCTAAGGCTGCAGGTCTGAGGCAGCCAGGACAGGCCACCAGACATCAGAGCCTTGTGCAAAGGGCAGATGTGGAAAGAATGGGTCAGAGGAGCGGGATCCCATAGGCCTGGAACGAAGCCTGAGACAGAAGCTGTGCGAGCTCCGAGCCCACGAGCCCGCATGTGGGTGGCTGTGATCTCCCGTGACCTTCTGGGAACCCCTCCACCCAATCACTGGAAAGGGTCTCTGCTCCCCAAACCCTGTCCCTCGCCAGACACCGACCTTGCTGTGGGGTACTGGTCCCCAGGTGCTTCCCCTGGGGGAGAAGAGGCGACTTGCTCAGCTGGCCCTTGTGCCCCGTATATCCGAAGAGCTGGGGCTCTCTAGCTGTCCTGGGGGCACCCCACTTCCATCAGGTCCTGACTCCTGGAACCACAGGACATGACACTGAAGAGAAAGAGGGAGATTGGGCATGAGAGGGACATCCCCGGGATAAACACAGCCCCAGTAGGAAGGCCTGGGCCTTTCCTGCTCCCACACCCAGGCCACGTAACTTGCTTTGTTCACTAACAGCTTGGCCTTAGGGAAAAGGAGGGCCCTAGAACCCTAGCTTCAGCAGAAGGAGGGATCCTAGCAGTACAGCCCAGCTAAGAAGATTCTGTGTTAGGGTTTGGGGCCAAAGGCCATTGAGTAATTGTATAAGGATTTTTTTTTTCATTTGTAATTGCTTGAAGATACAGTTCAAACTTGCTTAAACAAAAAGAGGAATTTAATTGGCTGTGTAACTGGATTACTAGCTTCAGGCATAGCTGGATCGAGGAGCTCACATTGCATCCATAGTCACTATGTCAACCTCTCTTTCTCTCGCTCTCTCTCTGTAATTCTATTTTTCCCCCACCCTTTTCGATTCTTCCTGGGGCCAGCTCCTCCTCATGGTCAGAGTGGCGAGCTGACCATCAATAGCTCCATTCAGACAAGCCAGAGCCTCACAGAAAAGAACTCAAGCCCTTGAGGCCACTCTGATTGGTCCCCTTGCTTGTATTCCCAGTCCAGACGTACCCCTGTGCCAGGGAGGCAGAGCTTGGCCAGTCCGGGGTCATGTGCCCACTCCTGTGAGGGCAGGAGGGAAGAGGAAGTTGGGCAGACAGCCGTGAACCTCTGCAGTATACGCCCCTGCTAAATTCGTTGCTCACCATCCTAGCGTTTGTGTTTCCAGCAGGGACCTCACCCAGAGAGGAGAGGGGTGGTCTGTCTGAGGGTGGATTCAGCTAATCCTAGGGACTTTACACAAAACTTTGTTAATGTGACATCTGACAAGCCAATCAGAAGGTTGTGTACTTATGCCGCTGACAGATGACTCAGACAGGCCTTGGGGAGCGAGACAGCTTCCTGCCAAAGCAGAGTGTAGGCAGAGTTGGTCCTTGGGGCTCTCAGGCCCTTTGGATGGAGACTTCTGGTGCGGAACCCACCTGGTTTCCCTCTGCTTCCAGTTCCTTGGGAGGTGACACTATTAAGTCCCTCACAGTCAGGGGTCACGTGACTGGTGTGGCCATGCACAGTAAGTGGAATGCTGTCTGTGACATCCAGGGGGAGGCATGATTCTCCAAGACTCTCCCTCTTCTGTACACGATGACCAGATAGGAGGTCTCGAGGGGAGACAGAGCCACAGCATGGGTGCAGCTTGGAGGGTCACCTGCCACTCGGTTAATCGTGTCTCCAAGAGTTGCGCAGATCTGAAGTGTGTGAGAAATAAACCTTTGCTGTGCTCGGACTCTGAGATCTGGGGCTGTTTGTTGCTGCGGCATAGGGCTCCTGACAAATACACCTTAACAGTCTCTTGGCCAATATGAGCCCCTGCTTTGCTCTGAGATGGCCCCAGTCTGCTCATCCTTTCAGTCTCTCGGGATTTGCACCCCTGCCTTCCTTCTTCTCTATCAAATATTCCTGGCTGGCTGATGGGGTGCTGATAGGAGCTAAGGTCTTAATGGTCGATGCCAGTTAATCTTGCCCACCCAACGTCCCCTCGCCCTTAAACTCTAACCAAACCGAGCACCCTCCAGAATCCTCTCCCCTGGATCTTTGCTGTCCCTGGCCTTTCTGTCCTGTTCCTGCCGTGGGGCCTCGCTGCCCTCTTGGATGGGTGCGGTCATACCAATCCCTTCACACCGTTTCGGATTGCGGCTCCTGGAAGACATTTCCCAGCGTGCGGACCCCAGCCTGGACTCTCCGGCAGCCTGCGCTTGTAGCTTCATCTGGGAACCACGTCTGTGCTCGCCTGCCTCCCGACAGACCTGGGGCTCCTGGAGGGCAGGCGGGGTCCATCCTGGCCCCTGGCGCCCAGGGAGTTTCACCTGCGCACCGACCCCACTTCAGCAGAACTGTCGATGCCTTACGCCACTGGGCGAGTCAAGGGCACTCAGACACCTCCTCCCGCCCCGCTGCCGGCTTTGTGGGCGCAGGCTGGGGGTGCAGACGCCTGGGGATACTCTGAACCTCGCCGCTCGCTCAGTCGCCCCTTCTGTGGCACACGCGGCCGCCCTCAGGCAGAGGCAGCGTGGGGCCCGCGCAGACCTCGCCGACCTCTCCGGTCCCGGAAACGCCCCGCGGAGCAAACGAAAAGCGCGAGTCAGAGAGAGCGCGGCGCCGAGGTGGCGGTTAAGTGCCAGGGAGGCGGCGTCTGCGGGCCGACTGGGAGACGCCCGTGCCCCCTGCCCGCGCGCCTCCGCCCCCGTGCGCCCCCCGCGCCCCCAGGCCCTCTGGCGCCCCCGCGCCCCCGTACCCCCCCACCCGGCCCTCCGCGGCCCCCCCTCCCCTGGCAGCCCTGGTCCCACCGAGCAGCTCCCCTCCCCTAGCACGCCCTCCTCCCCCCCACTAGCCCGCGCACCCAGCCTCAGCTTCACCCAGAACCTATTTTTAAACCTGGAAGCTGGCTGGAGACCAGTTTGCAAAGACCAACCTTTAATAGAAAGAGGTGCATGGCTGAAAGAAAAAGCAAGGGACGTTAGCGTGGGGACTAGTCAGTGGCTCCAGCGACGGGGCAGCTCATTCCCACATAATAGCACTTGCTGAGTACTTGCCTGCACTGGGAGAGGCGCAGGTGACGATGGTGATGGCCGCTCCAGTTTACTGCTTCAGCACCTGCTGTGCGCCAGGCTCTTCCCCAGCCACAGTACGTACATCGTATCGGGGGTATAAACTGTCATCCCAACAGCAACGGGTTTTTTTTGAAGCATAAATGCGTCAGTCCAAGGCACTTACATCTTCGCACAGCAGGAGATTCAGACTTTACTCATCTTCAATGTCCACATCAGTGCACCTTCCCAGTCACTGTGGTGGTGTAGCAAACCATCCCCCCAACTTAGTGGCTTCACAAGGACATTTATTTTGCTCTTGAATCTTCGAAACACATTCCCCTGGGGCTCAGCAGGGGGCGGTGTTTGGAAGACGCTCCCCCCCCAGCCCCCACCTGCCCCCAGGAGGCATTCTACAAGGACAGAAACCATTCTTTGGCCAGAGCCACCTAGGCTAGACTGGGGGTGGGCAGGGGGGAGGGTGGGGGATGGAGGAGGGGTGTCACAGGCTGCCAGGATCTGTGGGGCCACTCTGTTCCCTCATTCTGTGCCCTTACACTGGAGGGAACAGAGTTCAGGAGGTGAGCTCTGCAAAGAACAAATGACCCAGGCTGGTTATCCAGAGTTACTAGGCAGTTAAATTAGACAGGACGAATTTAATTAATTAGGCTGACTTAGTAAGGGGGACAAACTGGTATCTGGGACTTCTGTCCCACGGGGCCCAGTCCAGGGTGTTCTGATTTACACTCAACCTCAAAGGACCCCAGCTGATCCCGGAGCAGTTGCAGAAAGGGATGGGGCTTCGAGAGCCCCAGCTGGAGGCCCACAGCTGGGAGGAGGATGCCGGTCCCTACCCCCTGGTCGGCAGGATGAGTCTCTTCTTAGAATAGGCCTTCATATTATTTACCAAGACTCAATTTTTTTTCTCTTCTAACTCATTTACTTTTGTTTTTATCCTTGTGCGTGCCTTTAAAAATACAGTCCTCACATCATATTTCTCTTTTCTATTCATTCCTTCTCACTTGGTGATGAGAGCAGGCGGTGGCCATGTCCTGGGAGTTTGGCTGGGCAGTTTTCTCATCATTCCAGTCTATGTTAGTTGCAGTTTCCATTTCTTCTGTGACCCAACATTTATTTAGGAGAGGGTTTTAATTTTCAGTTTCAAGTGGGTAGATTTTTAAGGTTGAGGTATGATTTGTACACAGTGCATTTTATAAACTAAACTGTAGTTTTTAACTTGAACATTTATTACACTGAGGTTTTAGGACTTCTGTACACTTTCTGCCCTTTGGTATTTATTGAGGTTTTCTTGATGACCCAATATATAAACCTTTTTTATAAATATTTCTTGAATGCTGGGAAGGAAAGTGGTCTTTTTAAAAATAAAATTTGAGGGACTTCCCCGGCGGTCCAGTGGTTGACTCCACGCTTCCACCGCAGGGAGCACAGGTTCGATCCCTGGTTGGGGAACTAAGATCCCGCATGCTGCGCGGCACGGCCAAAAAAAAATTAAAATTAAAATTTGATGTGGATATGGCTCACGGGTCACCAGCCTATGACCACGAAATAATAGGCAAGTCCTTCTTATACCTAAATTATACCCAAATTATGAAGACACTGTGCGCGAGCACACACACACACACACGCACGCACACGCACCCCGTTCCGTTGCCAAGGACGTAGAGCTCTGCAGAAAATGGCCTGTCTTCCCATAGCAGTGGAAAGACTGATGGGGTCCATCAGTTCTAAGTCACACTTTGCCACCTGGACCAAGCAGAACTCCTCCTGGGTCCCAGTCTGACCTCCGAGACTCTGTCCTCAAAGGTTAGGTGACCTCTGGCTATAACCCCATGGCTCAGACATTTTTCTAGATTGCTCCAGAAACTTCTATTCCTCAGCGCCTGCCCTCACTCTCAACGCTAAGAGCTCAAACCCAGTCCAGGGCACCCGGGAAGTGGCATCTGTCTTGGCGTTCCCTCTACTCCACCCACTCACCCGTCCCCCCAAAAGGCTCCTGGTCCCTAAATAAACTCTTCCATTAGAAAAAGAGAGGGGGGCTTCCCTGGTGGCGCAGTGGTTGAGAGTCCGCCTGCCGATGCAGGGGACCCGGGTTCGTGCCCCGGTCCGGGAGGATCCCACATGCCGCGGAGCGGCTGGGCCCGTGAGCCATGGCCGCTGAGCCTGCGCGTCCGGAGCCTGTGCTCCGCGACGGGAGAGGCCACAACAGTGAGAGGCCCGCGTACCGCAAAAATAAATAAATAAATAAAAAGTTGAAAAGTATCCTTAACCATTTAAAAAACTGCCAGACTGTTTTACAGAGTGGTAGCATCATTCTACGTTCATGCCAGCAGCGTATGAGGGCTCTGATGTCTC